TTTTTCTATATTCTCTATTTACATATTCGTGTATTTTTCAACATCGTTGTTCGTGTTAGCGTGAGAGCTGAAGTCCTCGTTCTCGCCCTCAAAGCGAAGAGAGACGAAGTCTGCGTTCTCGCCTTCAAAGGGAAGAGAGACAAAGGCCTCGTTCTCGCCCTCAAAGGGAAGAGAGACGAAGTCTGCGTTCTCGCCCTCAAAGGGAAGAGAGACAAAGTCCTCGTTCTCGCCCTCAAAGGGAAGAGAGACAAAGGCCTCGTTCTCCCCCTCAAAGGGAAGAGAGACAAAGGCCTCGTTCTCGCCCTCAAAGGGAAGAGAGACAAAGGCCTCGTTCTCGCCCTCAAAGGGAAGAGAGACAAAGGCCTCGTTCTCGCCCTCAAAGGGAAGAGAGACAAAGGCCTCGTTCTCGCCCTCAAAGGGAAGAGAGACGAAGGCCTCGTTCTCGCCCTCAAAGGGAAGAGAGCTGAAGTCCTCGTTCTCGCCCTCAAAGGGAAGAGAGACAAAGGCCTCGTTCTCGCCCTCAAAGGGAAGAGAGACAAAGGCCTCGTTCTCGCCCTCAAAGGGAAGAGAGACAAAGGCCTCGTTCTCGCCCTCAAAGGGAAGAGAGACGAAGTCTGCGTTCTCACCCTCAAAGCGAAGAGAGACGAAGTCTGCGTTCTCACCCTCAAAGCGAAGTCAAGTATACCTAATTTCAGCGGTCAGATCGTCATGAGAGAGTTACAACGAAATTCTCGAGTCCAAATTGTAATGTGATTTGTAAACTTTACAGTAAATCTTTAGTTATCAAAATTTGACGTAAGTTTAGTCTTAAGGCACTTCGATCTGCCTTGAACGACTTGTTAGGCACTTGAACCCGACTTGTGCCACCAATTAGCGCCTGAGTTACGACTCTACTAGCGCTGGGTGCTTGTTGGTCCAGCATGGAGTGCTGAGGGCAGCTCCACTCACTGTGTTATGTGGTGGAGCTCACTAGTATGTCACGATAGTGGAGCTCTCTCTCGTTATTATCTCGAAAATCGTTACTATGGCGACGATCTCCTATGTCTCTTGAACTTGCGAGACAGAGTCTTGAACTTGCGAGACAGAGTCTTGAACTTACGAGACAGAGTCTTGAACTTACGAGACAGAGTCTTGAACTTGCGAGACAGAGTCTTGAACTTACGAGACAGAGTCTTGAACTTACGAGACAGAGTCTTGAACTTACGAGACAGAGTCTTGAACTTACGAGACAGAGTCTTGAACTTACGAGACAGAGTCTTGAACTTACGAGACAGAGTCTTGAACTTACGAGACAGAGTCTTGAACTTACGAGACAGAGTCTTGAACTTACGAGACAGACAGAGAATATCACGAGTCACGCCAAGATCATCAGTTTTGATCAACTGACGATAAACTACACATAAGAAACCTTTTATGATTAAACTTTAAGTCTTCTTAGGTCGCAAATCAAACTTTTTCTCGCAATTTTCTCTCAATAAAAACTTTTTTGTTAATATTAAAGTCTTACCACACAAAATGCTGAGATTCATTAAATTTTACTTACTAGTAACTAGTTACTTTTCCTAGTAACATCAGTCAAGAAAAGCACACTTTAGTGACCGTGTAAGTGTGTGTGAAAGTAGCCGTTCTCTTGACACTTGCTATAGAATAAAGTTTAAAACTAATTCTGTTAAGCACTTGGCCAAAACCTACGCTCAGTACTCAGTATTGAAACAAAAAATATTTTATATATAGAGTCCGCGAAGTAAATAACTCGTAAATATCTTGATTCTAATGGAGTCAAAGTTCAATACAGAAAATTATGTTAAAAAAAGGCCAATTGTTGTTGTTGTTAAAGATTCGCTACCTGGAACAAAGTTCCAAGTAGCACGGGCTATGGCGAGCCCGTATTACAAAAGGCCAAGCTTAAAGAGAGCCTGATATTCCTGCTCTGAAACACCATGAAATAATTACCGACAAACGTTAGTTATTTTTTATTTATCCTAAAGTTATCTTCGGACTTTATAATAGTACAAAATATAACCTTTCTATAAATAATATAATATTATGATCCGTAAACTACGACGAAGTTTATCAGCTTTTTGATATATTGAGAAACTAAAGCAGCTACGATACATTTACGTCCTGTATCTAATCCAACTTTTCTATCCAACTTCTCACTGCATAATACTTCAGTGCCTCACTACATGAATGTATATTTTCGAGGCAACAGCAGCATCACTTTCAAGTCGATTGAGAATGGTCCAGGACGAACCGAAACGTCGTCGTCCCTTCACCTTCTAGTGTGTTGTCTGGTCAACATATTTCAGTCACGTTATTGTGACTCTTCGCCTGCATCATGTTCAAGTTTCTGATCACTCTCTGCATAACGGGATGGTTCGCTATCGTACCAAACTCATTTTCAGGCTTTTTAAGTTCTCACTGGTGGTCCATACACACAGAAAAGTGCATAGCCACAAAAAAGTATGTTCTCTAAGTATGCTCTGTCGCGCCGCGCATTTCTCTCTTGTACATCGTGGTAGTAGAAAGTGAAGCATACGACCATCATTTTATATAATAGAGTTGACGCCGTCAGGACGAAAGCAGACATGTTATCCAGAAGTCACACATCTCTCTCATAATGAAGATTCGTAGTGAACTAACCCCCTCCCACCCTAACCCCCTCCCACCATAACCCCCATTACCCGTCTTCCTAAACCTCCTGTTACTAATCCCCCTCCCCCCTTCCTCAACCCAACAACCTTAATTTAGTTACCTCCTGGCAAGACAGTGTGAAGATTATACCCCTTCGACAGCCCATCAACTTCCACTCTTGAGAGTTGACTACCCTGGGGAAAAGTGATGCTCTAGCGTTGAATTTGCGTTCGAGTCAAACCTCAGAGAAACACGTGTGAGACACACACTGACGTCCATGTTGTCACCTGGGAAATATTAGTGACTCACAAGTTACGGAAAGCTCAATGGAATTTTTAATCTCCTTGCAGTAGAAGAGCAGAGGAGAAGGGGGAAGAGAGAGAGAGAGAGAAGATGATAGTGATGACAATGATGACGTTGATGATGATTAAGGGCAAGAGCATGAGAGGAGAGAAGGTATTGTGAGTGTTGGAGGATGAAGAAGAGGTGTGAGGGACACCTACCCATCCACACAGCATGGCAGTCAGTGTCCAGACGCCCACACAACACAGTAGTCAGTGTCTGGACGCCCACACAACACGGTAGTCAGTGTCTAGACGCCCACACAACACGGTAGTCAGTGTCCGGACGCCCACACAACACGGCAGTCAGTGTCTAGACGCCCACACAAGACAGTAGTCAGTGTCCAGACGCCCACACAAGACAGTAGTCAGTGTCCAGACGCCCACACAACACGGCAGTCAGTGTCTAGACGCCCACACAAGACAGTAGTCAGTGTCCAGACGCCCACACAAGACAGTAGTCAGTGTCCAGACGCCCACACAACATGGCAGTCAGTGTCTAGACGCCCACACAACACGGCAGTCAGTGTCTAGACGCCCACACAACACGGCAGTCAGTGTCTAGACGCCCACACAAGACAGTAGTCAGTGTCCAGACGCCCACACAAGACAGTAGTCAGTTTCCAGACGCCCACACAACACGGCAGTCAGTGTCTGGACGCCCACACAACACGGCAGTCAGTGTCCGGACGCCCACACAACACGGCAGTCAGTGTCTGGACGCCCACACAACACAGTAGTCAGTGTCTGGACGCCAACACAACACGGTAGTCAGTGTCTGGACGCCCACACAACACGGCAGTCAGTGTCTAGACGCCCACACAACACGGTAGTCAGTGTCCGGACGCCCACACAACACGGTAGTCAGTGTCCGGACGCCCACAAAACACGGCAGTCAGTGTCCGGACGCCCACACAACACGGCAGTCAGTGTCTGGACGCCCACACAAGACAGTAGTCAGTGTCCAGACGCCCACACAAGACAGTAGTCAGTGTCCAGACGCCCACACAACACGGCAGTCAGTGTCCAGACGCCCACACAACACGGCAGTCAGTGTCTAGACGCCCACACAACACGGTAGTCAGTGTCCGGACACCCACACAACATGGTACTCAGTGTCCGGACACCCACACAGCATGGTAGTCAGTGTCCGGACGCCCACAGAGCACGGTAGTCAGTGTCCAGACGCCCACAGAGCACGGTAGTCAGTGTCCAGACGCCCACAGAGCATGGTAGTCAGTGTCCTGACGCCCACACAACACAGCAGTCAGTGTCCGGACGCCCACACAACACAGCAGTCAGTGTTCGGACGCCCACACAACACAGCAGTCAGTGTTCGGATGCTCACACATCACGGTAGTCAGTGTCCAGACGCCCACACTGCACGACAGTCAGTGTCCGGACGCCCACATTGCACGACAGTCAGTGTCCGAACGCCCACATCGCACGACAGTCAGTGTCCGAACGCCCACATCGCACGACAGTCAGTGTCCGGACGCCCACATTGCATGACAGTCAGTGTCCGAACGCCCACATCGCAAAACAGTCAGTCTCCGAACACCCACATCGCACAACAGTCAGTGTCTGGATGCCCACACAACATGGCAGTCAGTGTCCGGATGCCCACTCAACACAGCAGTCAGTGTCCGGACGCTCACACATCACGGTAGTCAGTGTCCGGACGCCCACACATCATGGTAATCAGTGTCCAGACACCCACACACATCACGGTAGTCAGTGTCCGGACGCCCGCACAACACAGCAGTCAGTGTCCGGACGCCCACACATCACGGTAGTCAGTGTCCGGACACCCACACATCATGGAAGTCAGTGTCCGGACACCCACACACATCACGGTAGTCAGTGTCCGGACGCCCGCACAACACAGCAGTCAGTGTCCGGACGCCCACGGATCACGATAGTCAGTGTCCGGACGCCCACACAGCACGGCAGTCAGTGTTCGGACGCCCACAAGCGGCCACGACTCAAATATAACACAAAACACCGATTTTTCATCGTATAAAAATAATTACTCTAGATTACAACTTATCAAGGAGATTCTACATTTGCCGTTTTAAATTCTTCTAGTTTTAGCCTACTAGTTCTAGGTATGATGCCGTAACAATATATATATTGCTAGTCTTATTGCTTGAAAGGATCAATGTTATTACAACTAAGATTCGTTTGGAACAGCACTGACTCCACTGAATTGATTGAGAGAATGTTAGTGGCAATTAAAACATATATCCGTCAATCCGTTTGCCAATCCAAAGCAAGGGTGGCTGATTCTGCACGCCTTAGGCTCCAAAACTCTGGTGCCTATTGGGCAATAAGAGTTTGTCTCACCCGTGTATTAAGATCCAAACGAATACCTTTTGTAGTGGCATTAATCGCGGTTATCTGATTTAGTTCAAACTGTGTCATTATAATAATATGAAATACTGCTGCTTTTACAAAGTAATTGATAACTACTTGATACAACTAAGAGTTCTGTTATAAGAGACGATCTTTTAGAATTCATCTTTGTAAAGTAATGTTTGGAGATATTAGACATCCAAGTGAGAGTGAGAATGTGTTTGGCCTTCCTCAGCACAGTGCACCAGGCGGCCCAACGTCTGTCTGTCAGGCACTGACGGAAGTCTGCCGTCAAAAAAAAAGAAGGCAACATTTAATAAAACAGATCGCCACATGCACTTATTAGCGTCAATGACATGTCAGACGCCCAGAGTGTTACAGAAACTTGGCAGTGTCAAGATTCTTGACAACCTAAGGCACCACACTGGATAACCCAGAAGGGTCACACTTGGCAAAGGGAGCTTTGTAACGCTTCCCCACTGTCAACGACCCCGTCTCGGTAGTACACAGTGTGACACAGCCCTCAGTTGAAGAGTGTGACATGACACCGCCTTTTGATAATGCAACATGCACTACAAAGGTATATACGGCCTCGCAACAGGCGCTAAACCCGAGCTCAGTCAAACCTACACAGAGGAGTAGAGTATAGGTCGCTCGGTACCAAGGAGGTGACCCTACGACTGTTCATCTTGAACTGCTCCCCCCTCTCATTATCACAAATATTATCCTTAATATTATCATCAATAATGTTGCTGGTAGCATTAGTAGTGTGGTGGGTATTGACATTTAACAATAAGACGAGTGTATTCATTATTTTTATCATCATAACTTATTAGGCACTTTTTTTTTTTGCGTTTATCGTTTGAGACAGTTAGGACAAAAGGATCGTTTTTTGATCTTTCAACACGCCGTATGTCTTTCTAAGATAGCATTCAAGATGAACGAGCGTAGTGTCTTGGCTATTACCTTATTTGTACCATTAAAACGTATCAGCGGCGACACGGGAGGGTTCGTGGCACCCCTTGCCGCACCCTGAACAACAAGAACACAAGCTATAACAACCACCAAAGAAAGACCTGACTATTGAGCTCTTTGTGTTGCGGAGGCTGCCGGCGTACCTGTGCTAGGGGAAGGACCATCTGTGTTTCTCATCGTTAAACATGTTAAATTCCTGGTAAAGATCATCGCTAGACCTAGATAAAACAGACTATGCTTAACAATTGCTGTTAAAAAGAAAACAATTCAAGATTAAAATCAGATATTTTTGTGAGCATCATATTTGATCCTTTGCCATTACAGGTCTCGAAACCATTTGAATGAGCCTTTCATACATTTGATCCGTGAATTAATTGGTTACTAAAGTCAATTCTACTTCTAAAAAAAATCAACATTTTTCTGCGTTAACAAAGAGCCCACATCGTAAGGCGGTCTTAGAGGATCTCTTGTAAACAATCGTACCGAATCGTATAATTCACTTCACAAAAGATAATGGCATCACATGCAGCTAATGAAAGAAGCTTGGAATAAAAAGATTAACTTGTGATTAGATTTTGTTCCTAGTCATGCAGCCGAACCCAACCCTGGTGGAGACTTCGGCCAAATCTACCACACTCAGAAGCCGGCGTTGTTGGCCCGCCTGACAACGCTCCCTGCTGGTGCGTGTAGAAATGGCGCCATTTCGCTAGACTTGTTGAACTTCTGCCATCAACCTTTTAAGCAAGTATACTGTCACTCCTGGTGTGAAGAACGCAAAAACCCGTTAATACCAGCTGGACAGATTTCAGAAATCATCCTTGGCAGCCGGTTGGGTCTCTGAGATCATGTTCACTGGACACAGGGGCTTCGCCGTTGTGATGACTAGACTTATCGTACTAAATGATGCCACATGAAAATCACAGAGGATCACAATATTGGATTAAAGTATAAATGTACAGGAGCAAAATAAAGCACTTTGTTTTTTTTTCGCTGTTGAATGCTAGTGCACCGTGTAACTCTATGTGGAAGAACAGCTATTCTATCCCTCAGGTAACCAGACCTTATTGCCAAGTCTTAATTCAGGTCACAGTTCCACACGTGGGCCACTGGGTATGGCCAGTTACTGGTCCACAGTTCCTAGACTCGTGGCCACACCCTGGTCCACCATGGGTACAAGTCGTGGCCACTTAGGTCCACAGTAGGTACAGTTGGCGGGGCATACACATAAGTCCATAGCTGTGCGTCGTGGCCAGGTTCATGGCCCTGGAGAGACGCAGATCTCGCCGCACGCGCCGTCCCGGTAGCACGCCGACTCGTAGTGCTTGTTGAGGTACGACTTGAGAGCGAAGGACTTGTTGCAGCGTTTACACCTGAAGTTCTTGAGCTGTGAGTGCGTCTGCATGTGCGCGCGCAGGTTGGATCGGTCAGCGAAGGACTTGCCGCAGTGGGCGCATCCGAAGGGCTTCTCTCCAGTGTGAGAGCGCATGTGGCCTTGCAGCAGCCAGGGGCGGGAGAAGGCCTTGCCGCAGACGCCGCACCTGTGCGTCAAGTTATGCGTCAGCACGTGCATGGCCAGTGCCGGCATACTGACGTACGCCTTCCCGCACACATGGCAACGTCGCGCGTTGCCGGAGTCCAGGTCGCGATGCGTCTGTTTGTGTCGCGACAAGTTGGACGACGTCGCATAGTGCTTCCCACATTCCGAACAAGTGTACCGCGGCTTGTGGCGCCCTAACCGCATGCCTTCACTCCTCCCAATCCGAATTCTGGAGCGCCCATCGTCCAGCCCGAGGGAGCAGGCAGGAGCCACATTCTCTGCGTCGCTGCTGCCTGCCGGGGAAGGCGTCGGTGTGGTAATGAGACTTGCCTCACTATCCTCATAAAGAGGCTCGCTTCCGTCGCACACCGTAGTCTCCGAGTAGCTAGTAGAGGGCGCCTCTAGAGAGTCGCAGGAGGAAGCTGGGGTAGGAGGCTGGTAGGTGTAGGCGGGGGCGGAACGAGCCAGTTCAAGTAAGTCGTGCGCGGCTTCGGTTTCCTCTACAGGCCGCAGGTGCAGCGGAGTGAAGGTGTGGCTCGATTGGTAGCTAGTTTGTTGGTTTGATTGGTGGCTGCTCTGCTGACACGACGGTGGACTGGCCGGGAGGCAGGATTGCTGGCTAGTTGATAGACACGTCTGTTGACTGGTTGCAAGACACGCCTGTTGTTGAGCCGTCCGGAGGCATGGTGACTGCGTGGACTGTTGGCGAGTGGCAGAGAGGTAGGACTGGCTGGAGGGGAGGCAGGGCTGGTGGAAGGTAGTGGTGGTGGACTGGACGTAGGCGTGGTCTGGCGTGGTGGGGTAGTACTGGAAGGTGCAGGTGAAGCAAGGGTCCGCCGCTCGCAGCTCGTGGTACACACCTGCCGGCAAAAAAAGAAAAACATTAATTAGCAAAGGTTTCAGGTATAGTTAACTTAACTAAACAACAACAGCCTTAAGGATCACAGGCCGGCACGAGTAAGATATTCAACTCTTCTGCCAGGGCGACCTCCTCTCTTATGCAGGAACTTCTTGCTCAAAGGTAAATTTGCTGGGTGATTGAAGTCGGAATATTTTGCAACTAAACTGCGTTGCAAGAGAGAATATTTACCAGCACTAAATTAATTTAATATTAAATAAATGTTAAAAAAATTATTTTTACCTTTAAGCAATAGCATTAATGATTTAATAAACAAGATATATAATCAATATATATATATATATATATATATATAAATATATATAAAATATCAGAATTGATCCCTAAAGGATCTGAACCCAGTCAACCAGGGGCCTTTATATCCCTTGGTGTGTTCAGTACTATAACCACTCAGCCTCAGACTGTACAACAGTTATGGAAAGTCGTCTGACTATTAACCCCAATACCCGACAGCTCTCGTGATATGTTTTGGGCACAGATATTTCATCAAATCACTCCAGCATGCTGAGGTCCACATCAGTAACATTTATGTGTCAAGCTTGAATGGTCCCCAAGCCAACATGCATATTTATGTTGCTTTATTTTCTAGTTAAATGGTTTACCAGTTTGGCCATCTTAGAACTTATTACAACTTTTACATGGAAAAAATGTTATACGCACATCCATGGCAACTACCATGAAAGGGGGGGATTTTTAATGAGTGGTATTTTTATGATATCAAGATTCGTAAATGATATACATTGATACGAAATTCTTGTATTAATTTAACTGTTCCACAGCAGCACAATGACAATTTGGGTGAGGATACAGCCCCAAGAATTTCTGATTTATTGATATATAATTTTTATTTATATATATTTTTTATTTATTTTTTAATGTCCATTCAGTGTATAATGCGGCATGAATGTAGCGTCCAGGAATTCAATTCTAATGCTTCTCATTCCTTAACAGCGAAGCTCTGCTGTAATCTTCATTCTCGCTTGCTGTGTTCATTCATCTCGCCTGCTGTGTTCATTCATCTCGCCTGCTGTGTTCATTCATCTCGCTTGCTGTGTTCATTCATCTCGCCTGCTGTGTTCATTCATCTCGCCTGCTGTGTTCATTCATCTCGCCTGCTGTGTTCATTCATCTCGCCTGCTGTGTTCATTCATCTCGCCTGCTGTGTTCATTCATCTCGCCTGCTGTGTTCATTCATCTCGCCTGCTGTGTTCATTCATCTCGCTTGCTGTGTTCATTCATCTCGCCTGCTGTGTTCATTCATCTCGCTTGCTGTGTTCATTCATCTCGCCTGCTGTGTTCATTCATCTCGCCTGCTGTGTTCATTCATCTCGCCTGCTGTATTCACTCATCACGCTTGGTGTACTTACTCAATTCGTCTGCTGTATATGCCTAAACAGAACTGCTTAAACCACCCTTCAGTCTCTTCCTGTCTATTCTTAGCCATATTTCACAGATGTTACCCCTTCTGCCCTTCCATTTTCTATTACGGTTTCCATCCTCTCTCTCCTCCCGTGGCCGGAGCACAGCTAGGAACGTCACCCCTTGATTTCTTCCATTTTCTTTACGGCATCAAATGCTCCAATAGGAGAGTTACCCCTATTTAGTCCGCTCTCTCCCTTTATGTCGTAAAGGTCGCCTACAGCTGTAGGGTTATTAAGGCCGTTATAGTAGCTTGCTGTTGCACAAACTAATAAGTATAAATATAGTCCTGAGCACAGACGAGGATTAAAATATATTTTAGCGTGGGAGTTACATTTTGGTGTTGGGATTAAGGCCTATCAATCAACTAATTTTTCAGCCTAGCTCGTCCAAGCTTCGGGCTACAGCAAATACGCAGTCATGAATTTTAACATACTGTGTAATTAAATATTAACATTTTTAAATCACCCCTTCCCTTCTATCCAAGATGCATATTACTGGGTCAGCCCCATTGTAGATAAAGAAGCCACAGCTTTGCTGGAGGCAGCAACAACCCCCAGTGATCGTGCACGCCTCACAGCTGTGCAGGCTCCCCATGCTGGGGACTTCCTATTGGCAGTCCCTATGTCTGCGACAGGCTCACGTCTTGATCCGCAGGAGCTCCGTATTGCTGCCCCTATCCACACTGCTCATATGTGTATTTGCGATGAGGTATTTGAAGCTCAAAAGCTTATAAACTGTTAATAAACACCATCTAGGCTGCCATGATCGAAGAAAGATATATAGGTTTCGTAAGTGAACACCCCGGGGGCCGACCAAGGTGTATCACACTATGTATATATTAGTATATAGGTTTATATACTAGGTATATGTATCACACATTTATGGGTATAATACCATAAATGTGTTTTTGCATATTTATTTCACATAAAATGAGAGTTCAATCACACAGGATATGTGAGGTGCCTGACTGTCCGTCTTCAGCAATTAAGAAGTCACACCGTGAGATTTAATGGTCAGAGCCGGTGGCTGAGCGGACAGAACACTGGACGCATGATCCTGTGGTCCCGGGTTCGATCCCGGGCGCCGGCGAGAAACAATGGGCAGAGTTTCACCTTGATGCTCCTGTTACCTAGCAGTAAATAGGTACCTGGGAGCTAGTCAGCTGTCACGAGCTGCTTCCTGGGGGTGGAGGTCTGGTCGAGGACCGGGCCGCGGGAACACTAAAGCCCCGAAATCATCTCAAGATAGTGGTCAGATCGCGTGAAGTGAGCTTTCTTTCTTTCTGCTAAGGTAAGTTTAGACATGGTAGGTAGATACCCTAAGGCTGTCTCCTTAGTAGACGGAGCTGAGTTTCTGGTTCCCCGTACCCCTGGAACTGGGCGTTTGGAAGATTGAGTTGGACAAGGAGAGAGGAGATTAAGAGGGACAGAGAGACAGTCCCCCATCCAGACAGGCTGGGTAGGGGACTGTCTGTCTGTCAACCATAGCCCCCCTCCCCCCCTTCCATCCTCTCTATCAATCTTAGTCTCAGAGAAATTGATGAGTGAACTTGTAAGGCGACGTATATTGTGATTTCAACTAAGGTTGAAATCTTTTGCTTTGCCCGAAACGCATTGCGTAATAGTGGCTTTAGGCATTGTATGTACTAGCTCTATCTATATATCAATCCATTAATGTAACATCACTTGTATGTATGTACCTTACCTGAATAAACATATTTATTTATTATTTATTATAAGGTGATTTTCAGGAGCAGTCAGCCGTAGTGCTTTCAATCTCTTGTGTGGTGACTCAAATTGTGTATTAATGTTGATTTTAACATCAAATGATATGATTTAATTACAATATCTATATGAGTGAAGATTGAATAGGAAATATATAATTAACTTACTTATTGAATTGTCTTTAATTGTGATCCCTAGATCTTGGATTTTCTAGGATATTTTGCTAGTTTGAGTGGAGAACATTCTCAAGTTTACTGACTTAAGATTTTGACTTAAAGATTCTGGGTTATATACGAGTACATGTTTACAGTTGATACATGATAACACCAGATAATATTATTGTACTGACACGTTCCATTCCTTGTCTTATATAAGTAACTAACTTGAATGGATGGTGACAACAATCTTTTCTTTCTACTATCTACTTGCAACCCTTTCTAACTATTCTACTTGCAACCCTTTGTAACTATTCTACTTGCAACCCTTTGTAACTATTCTACTTGCAACCCTTTCTAACTATTCTACTTGCAACCCTTTCTAACTATTCTACTTGCAACCCTTTGTAACTATTCTACTTGCAACCCTTTCTAACTATTCTACTTGCAACCCTTTGTAACTATTCTACTTGCAACCCTTTGTAACTATTCTACTTGCAACCCTTTCTAACTATTCTACTTGCAACCCTTTGTAACTATTCTACTTGCAACCCTTTGTAACTATTCTACTTGCAACCCTTTCTAACTATTCTATTTGCAACCCTTTCTAACTATTCTACTCTTCTACTTTCCTCCTTGATCTCATCCTTTCTCTCTCATTCTTAAACTTTCCCTTTCCCCAAACCACCCTTCCTCGCCCCTCCCTCCCAACTCTCTACCTCCCTCAACCTATGAATGATCACATTCTTCATTTATTTTCATTTTCCGATACGTTACAGAGGTGTAAATAAAGAGATAGAAATATAAAAAAGATAAAGATAGATAAAAAGCAGATAAAGAAATGTATAATAAATTTGCAGGTTTACAGAACTTGCATTATCAACATTGTTAAAAAAGGGAGAGGGTTATGGTTGATGCAGTAAATAGCGTATAAGTCTTGAAGAAAAAGAGAAAACTACTCAGTTTACTTATAGCTGACTCGAACGTGTCGCTTCCTTAATGTCTTTCCAAATTCGTTAAATCAGCAAATTTTGGTGTCCTGATCATTTCTCTGGTTCTTCGGGTGGAGCCTTTTAATGGATTTTGAATGTTGTGTCTATCAGCATTAATTGTTTTGCAGATATACACAAAATATCAGCATAATTTTTTTTCCAGAGAATACGACTGTATTTCTCGTTTTCTTTCTCTGCTGAATGTACAGAAGTGTGAGAGAGAGAGAGAGAGAGAGAGAGAGAGAGAGAGAGAGAGAGAGAGAGAGAGAGAGAGAGAGAGAGAGAGAGAGAGAGAGAGAGAGAGAGAGAGAGAGAGAGAGAGCACAGGTTAGGGGCAAAGCCAAAATTAAAAGAAATATGAGTGTAATTACATACCGTAGGGCTAAAAATAGAGGGTTTTAAATTGGGCTCTGAACTCGGGGAAGGGGAACCAGAACCATGCCCCCCCTCTCCCCCCTCTTTCCCCCCCCCCCACCCTGAGGTAAGCCATGGCACCCATGCCAGGCCCCGGATGATGAAGGCAGGAAGGGAGCGATGAGTAAGGCTAGGCGAGGAAGGGAAGAGAGAGAGAGAAAGAGAGAGAGAAAGAGAGAGAGAGGTTTACAACCACAATATTTACTCCCTAAACAGCTGTATGAGAGAAGAAAT